ATAAACTCCAAGCGCTGAATGGTTTTCCCAGGCCCCACTGCCTCTGACCAGAACACTGCATTAGCACTCCCACTTCACCCATTACCCATAATATGGCAAGGACAGCTGAGCTGATGGAGCGTCTTTTGTGGTCCTGCGGGACTAAGCATCTCACAGGCATTTCAACCAGAAGATAAGAAGGAAGCCCATGACTTTTACTTATGGTTGGATTCTCAAGGCTGTCAATCCAAACATGCTTCTTGGGCACCTTTCCCTGAGCCCCACTAAGCAAGAGCTGTGGAAATACAGAAAATCAGAGCTAGTTGCATTTATGGTACTTAAGGCCAAGTCTGTGAGAAAGACAAGATCGCATGAAACAGAGGACGATAGTCTAATCAACATTTACGGCCTAAACTGGTAAGCAGACTAAACTCTCAGAGTTACGGTAGCTCAAGGGAAAGCTGAGGTGGAAGATTCCGAGCTGCACTTTTCGGTCTGAGCACTTAAAACATAGCTGGTCCCAATTGGGAGGTGCTTGTAAGTGTAACATACACTCTGGATTTTAAAAATTTAATACCAGAAAAAAGATTGTAAACATATCTCATTAATAATTTTGATATTGATGACATGTTGAAATTATAGTATTTTGGATGTGTTGGGTTAGATAAGTTATTAAAATTAATTTCACTCCCTTAATGTGGCTACTAGAAAATTTTACATTACCTATGAGACTAATATTATATTTCTATTGGACAGCGCTGTTTTCAAATCTGTCATCAACGTGCTTTAGATGCCAAACTAGTGCTAAGCACTTTATGTCCATTCCCTTATTTGATCTTTGAATCATTTCCGTGATTTCATTATTATTCCATTTTACAGATTAGGAGGCTGTGATTTAAAGGAGTTAATCATATAGCTATTAAAAAGGGTAAGTTAGAACTACATATATTGGGCGCCTGTGTGGCTCAGTCGGTTAAGCGACTGCCTTTGGCTCAGGTCATGATCCCAGGTCCTGGGATCAAGCCCCACATCAGGTTCCCTGCTCAGCAGGGAGTCTGCTTCTCCCTCTGCCCCTCACCCTGTTCTCATGCTCTCTCTCTCAAATAAATAAAATCTTAAAAAACCCCAAAAACTACATATATTGTGGGGGCGCCCAGGTGGCTCAGTTGGTTAAGCTTCTGAATTCAGCTCTGGTCATGATCTCGTGGTCCTGGGATTGAGCCCGGCATCGGGCTCCCTCCTCAGCCGAGAGTCTGCTTCTCCCTCTCCCTCTGCTCCTCCCCCTGCTCGAGCTCTCTGTCTCTCAAATAAATAAATAAATAAATAACAAAAAAAAACCCATGTGTATTGTGATGGAAAGTGTCCATAATAAATTGTGGGGTTTTTTTTAAGATTTTATTTATTTATTTGACAGAGAGAGACATAGTGAGAGAGGGAACACAAGCAGGGGGAGAGGGAGAGGGAGAAGCAGGCTTCCCGCAGAGCAGGGAGTCCGATGCGGGGCTCGATCCCAGGACCCTGGGATCATGACCTGAGCCGAAGGCAGACGCCCATAACTGAGCCACCCAGGTGCCCCATAAATTGTTTTTTTTAACAATGATCATCCATTATCAGAAAAATAAAATATGCCTATATAATTTATTTTAAATAAAGGCATTGAGTGACTTGCCCATATCCATTCAACTAACTGTGGAGCCAGAACTTGAACCCTGGACCTATGACAACTCCAAATTCATGCTCTTGTCCCCACGAGAACCTACAGAGGTAAGAAGGCTTTGGGACATGTTAAAATCAAGGGTAGACAGAGACCAGTCTGGAAAGTTCCCTGAGCAGACAGAACCAGCTTAGTCATGCAGACAAAGCTTAATTTAGCTTATTATGCAAGACTAACTTGACCTGGATTATCTCTTGCTTGTGCCTCTGGAAATGATAAGCAAAACTTGAACTGTTTCCCAGATTGATATGAGGGAACCACTGAAAATTATAGTATTGTAACCAATTGGTGTGAAGAATAAACAATCACTGCTTTGTCACTATAATAACCTGCTTTATAGCAATATACTCCTGAGCCTCATTCCATGTTTTGGTTCAAGTGCTCCCAGTTTGCAAACTGCCTTTTTGGTGTGTGCACAATAAATTTTTTCCTATTTACTGCTTCAGTGCTTCATTGGTTTTACTTCGGCTATTTTGAACCTTTGACAGAGGGCATAGGAGCTGAACTCCCATCCGTGTCAGGCCATCTCTCTCTGCAGTATTCCTGGAAGGCAGACAGCTAGCATCTGCTTGAATACTTCTGGTAATGGGGAGCTCATTACCTTTCTTGGCAGCTTGCCCCATCGTTGGCCACCTGCTTATTAGGATTTTCCTCCACTAAATGAGGAGAAATCAGTCCCTCCTAAGTTCTGTCCTTGAGTTCCAGATACTCCGAGAGGAGGCGGCCAAGTTGAGTTTAGGCCAAAAGGATGGGCTGGCTTGCACTGGCCTCTAAGGAGAGATCTCAGATGTGGGTCCAGCAGGGTCGTCACTGCTTCGTGGGGAAGGGAGCCCTAATCTGCCCTCCACCCCACTCCCTCCACCTCCACTGCCCAACCCATCCCTCAGACTGACCCAGGTAAATCTCACTTGCTTGATGTGCACGGATGACCTCCCTGATTGCCTGTGGGGTCACAGCTGCAAAAATGTTTGAATTTCCATTCATGGGAAGGCCTCCCATCGCTGAAAGGATAATCATCTCCTTGCTGTGCTGACAGGTTCCCATCTGGTGAGGGCTGAACGCTGTGTCATTAGAAAAGGCAAGCTTCTGGCCCGGCTTTGACAGATTCGCTCAGCGAATCTAAGGGGAAAAAAAGACATTGCTGGGGGTAGGGACTGGGGGTCGGGGAAGGGGAGAGGCAGAGAGAGAAGAAGAGGAAGAATCTGGGATGCTAATGAATTCCTTGTGATCTCACTCTCCTTATTCCACTACGTGCTCCTTTGCAAAAACCAACGGGGCCACTTCGCCAGCCTGAGCCTGAAATGTGCCCAGGGACACAGGACCCCGAGCCCGAGGACAGCCCGTGATACGCTGGCTGCCTGCTCATGGCTGAAAGCCGAGAACAGAAAACAAGAGGAGCGATCTGCTAAAGGGACCCCCCACTCCCTTGACATTGTACTTCAGGGGCCTGCTTTCCCGGCCTGCCCCCCTCCCAGTGACAACAGAACCATGAACTCAGAACATCTACAGCCAAGGGAATTGGCATCGCGGGACCTTACCACGGCCTCTTCCCTCCTCTCCTTGCCACTTTCACTATCAAAGCATAATAAAAGAAATGCCCTTGGGGCGCCTGGGTGGCTCAGTCGGTTAAGGGGCTGCCTTCGGCTCAGGTCATGATCCCAGGGTCCTGGGATCGAGTCCCTCATCGGGCTCCCCATTCTGCAGGGAGCCTGCTTCTCCCTCTGCCTACTTGTGTTCTCTCTCTATCTCTCTGTCAAATAAATAAATAAAATCTTTAAAAAAGAAAAGAAAAGAAAAGAAAAGAAATACCCTTTAGGAGTTTGAGTAAAGGGTCTGAAGCCTATCGTTTGACCCCCAGGCCCCCAGGTCGGGTAGTGAAGCTGTGGCAGGCCCCGTGCGGTCAAGACGGCAGGCCTGCCATCCACCAGCAGCCACGACTGGCCCTGAAAGTAGGCATCACCGGCACAGGGAGGCTCAAGCAAACCCCTAGTGGCATTACTGATCGCCAACCGCGTCCCGGGCTCCGCCCCCAGGGCTTTGTACACTTCCAGCACATTTGTGAACCAGGATTTATCCTTAATCACCCTTTAGAAACGTGGAAAGTGGGCTGAGAAGAATTAAATGACCAGATTACCTAGCCAAAAAATAGCAGAGGGTGGATTTGAACCCAGCTCTCCCAGGTCTGCCATGCTATAAGATCTGTGCTTTAAACAACAAAACCCAGTTTTTATTATGGAACATTTCCAACATACAAAAAAGGCATCACGAACCAGTGCCATGAACAGCCACATACCCATACACCAGGTCATAACGATTATCAGCACAGGGCTCCTGTTCCTGCTCTGTGCTCACCCATCCTCCTTTACTGGGTTATTATTTTTTAAAGATTTTATTTGACAGAGAGAGACACAGCGAGAGAGGGAACACAAGCAGGGGGAGTGAGAGAGGGAGAAGCAGGCTCCCCGCCGAGCAGGGAGCCCGATGAGGGGACTCGATCCCAGGACCTTGGGACCATGACCTGAGCCGAAGGCAGATGCTTAATGACTGAGCCACCCAGGCGCCCCTACTGGGTTATTTTGAAGCAAACATTAGACCTCATGTCATTTTATCCATTAATAGTTCAGTTTGTATCTCTAAAAGAGAAAGATCCTCCAAATCTGTGCTCTTGACTCCCTCAAAATATTGACCCTGAGTGAGAGATTATCACAGAAATGCCCAGAAAAACTGCAAGATTTCCACCACCCCCAGGGGGAAGTGAAGCATTCCCTGGCTGCCTGTGGCATTCCATCATAATTTGGGGAGACTACAGTCACTATCTGCTAAGTCTAAGAATGCGCACCTGGTAGCCCAACACCAGGATGACCTGCTCACCTGGCCACATGGCCAGACCTTTCCTGCCGGTTAACCCTAGTAACCTCTAGCTAAAGAAAACGGCACCTAACCAGTCTCTTCCAGAACACATTACTGTGTTGGCTGTCCAATGCACGTAGAATGCCATTAACATCTATTCAACACATCTACTATGTGTCAGACGCTGACCTAGGAGTTCTTATGTGTCAGGAACCTAATCCTTGATTTTTTTTTAAATTTTGATTTGATTTTTGTGGTTCCAATTTCCATGTGGTTTGGAATCTCATCTTAAACTGAAATATTATGAAAGGGACTATATATAATCCCTTCAAGGGTTGGATTCAACAATCAGCAGTATTTCTTGAGAAAGTGTGTGTGCACGTGCATGTGTAGATCACCCCGTGAGTCACCCCGGAAGTACCAAGAGGAAGAAATGGCTCGGTATTGAAGTCTGCAGATACTTTATTAACCTCCTTTTCTCATGCCACAGGGCTTGCGGTCCCCGTCCTGAGAAGTCTAGTAGGGTGGATAAGACAAAGTACACAGATAAGCAGATCTCCAAGGCAGAACACACCAACTGCCACAGCAGATGTAAAAATAACACGTCGTGGGAGTTGAAAGGTGACAGCAGTAATGGGTGACCTGGAGAACTCAGGAAAGCATTGGTGGCACGTGAGATTTGGAATGTTCCCCAGGACTCTGTGAGGTTTGCTCTACACGCCATGTACAACAGACTAAAGAGGCCACACTGGGTCTACTCTCAGCTTCTCCTCAGCACGAGAGTGGTGCTAGTCCTAGCCAAGGGTCCCTGGCTCTGGGTCCATCTGCATTCTTCCTTCTTGAGCTGGAGCTGCCCCCTAACCTCTCTGGGCTGTCCCCCCTTACTGTGGAAGCCTGGTTGCTGCTGGTGACGGCTCTCCATCTCCAGTTGCTGACCCCAGAAGGCTGGGTGATGCTGTCGCTCTCTGCGTCTCCAGCACAAGGTTCGCTCACCGAATCACTGGTTTTCTGTACACTGTGTGGATGTCAAAGGGGTCTGAAGACCATCGGAGGAAAGAGTTATGCCTCCTGGAGTCAGGGCTGAAAATAGACCCATGGTTAGGAATGTTACAGGCAGAGGTGTTGGGGGAATGGAACTATAAGCAGAAAGGCACAGAGGCAGGAACAGAGTGCTTTCAGAGAGCCCCACTTAGAGGGTGGGCTGTGGGGGAAGACAGACCTTGGGGGCGCATCTGGAGGAACAGGCTGGGCACTTGATGAAAATCCATAAATACATACCGAGGAGGAACAGAGATAATGGAGAGCAAATGAAGGGACCTGGAAGAATTATCACCAGACCTTAGGAATGTTCCTCTGGCACAGCAAGTATCATGGACTGGAATGGAGGGTAAAAACAGAGGCCAGATTAGCTAGAAGGCCCAGGGTGTACGCTCTTCTGCGCACTTACCATGGCCCCTGGCTGGAATGTAAGCCTTCAATTGGCTCTCATTATTTTGGGGAGTGGGCCTGCACCGCATTCTTTGTTTTCCCAGGGCCTGGCATATAGTAGGTGCTCATTAAATATTAATGCCTGGCACATAGTAGGTGCTCAATAAATATCTGTTGAAAGAAAGAAATAGAGAGGGAGGGAGAGGGGGAAGGAAGTAAGAACTAAAGCCAAACCTGTGATATGCTATGAAGAGGGCTTGGGGAGAGACAATGGAGGCCTTTCTGCAGCGGTGGAGGAGTTAGAAGTGGGAAAGTGTCGGGGGGGGTGGGGGGTAGCCACAGATCAGTCAGTAAGAGCATCCGGGGCCTGGCGAGTGGGAGGAAAGCAAAAACCGAGGAACCTAGGATGACCTGGAGAATAATGGGGCCATTAACAGAAATAAGACAACCAGGAGGAGAAGCAGGTCGGCGAGAAAAGGCAGTAAAAGGATGATTTTCATTTGGACACTTGGAGTTTCAGGTGCCCCCAAAAGCCGTCCGGTCTGCATGTAGAGGAAGCTCGGGAAGGAGCTGGGTGCGAAAAGTAGGGGCTGCCGAGGCATCCGCAGAGAGGATCTAGCGGTAACCCTGGGAGTGGGGGAGATCGCGGGGCAGGGAAGGGAGAAGAGCAGAGGCCCCGGGCGCAGAGGCTCGAGGAACGCCAGCACCACGGGAAGGGGACAGCGGCTGTTGGAGACGCAAGAGGGAAACCGGGAAGGTGCCGCCTGGCGCCGCCGAGGGGCCGGTTTCAAGGGGGAGGTGACCAGCAGGACCAGATGCTTCAGAGGTCCGGTGGGACGAGGTCTGAAAACGAGCGCGCGGGATTTGGCAGCAGGAGGTCACCAGAGCCCTCCGAGGGCGCAGCGACGGCGACGCTCCGGCGGGGTCCAGATGGCGCCTGGTGAGAAGGGAGTGGGCGGCGAGGGCCCGGAGGCGGCCGCGAAAGCGCTCTTGGAAGGGCCCTGGCAGCCACGCGGAGAAGAAAGGCAGGACCACTGCGGGAAGGGAGGAGGGCTGGAGGAAGACGGGCTTTGGGAATGGGTACGAAGAGAACAGACTTGTAGGCGGGAGAGAGAGAAGCGGTGAGGTGTACAGGAGGGTGACCGAGGGCATTGGGGGGGGGGGGCAAAGCAAAACCCCAGAGGAGGGGAGAAATCAAGGGAGTATATATTTTGGAAAAGCCTACCAATCAAAGCAGCACATAAGTGATAACAATAAGTCCTTACATTGAAAAGCAGTGAAATGCAATCTACAGAGCCTTTTAATGTGCTTTCTCTCCTTTAATCCTTGTGAGGGGCATATTATTATCTCTGCTAAAATATAAGGAGGTTAAATGACTCACCCAAGATCACACATCTAATAAACAGAAGAACCCAGGATCAGAAAGTCCATCATGAGACATTTATTGATCAAATATGGGCTGTAGCAGCACTGTGCTCGGTGCCAAAGATTCCCAAAGAGAACAGAAATGGATCCTGCCCTCCGAGGAGCTCACAACCCAGGAGACTGGCCTCCATGCTACTGACCAATATGCTCCAAGACAGAACTGTGCTCAGACCGAGGAAGGGAGAGGGGTACGACCCAAGGGAGGCTTTTCCGAATTGGTGATGTTGAGCTGAGTGTGGAAGGATAAACAGGAATGAGCTGGTGGACAAGTAGGCTGACAAGGGGAAAGGTATTCCCAGCAAAGGAGATTGGCGTGCAAGAGCCCGGAGCCTTTGGAAGCTAAGAGCAATTCACTGTGCAGGGACACAGGGTAGGTGTGGCAAGGTACAGCAGAGGCATGTGCCAAGTCCAGGGTGGGGGAGCATGGCATGCTACCCTGAGGATCTCTAGTCATATCCTTAAGGTGAGAGCACCAGCAAAGGGTTTTAAGCAAGGGAATGATATCAGATTTGCGTTCTAGCACAATCACTCTGGAGGACCCCTGGAGCCACCCCAGGATGGGTTAGAGCAAGATATTATGGGAAGCAGGGACACCAGTTAAGATGCAAATGTAGTGGCCTAGGCAAGAAAGGATGAAGCCAGCCTGGATGGGGCTGTGGCCTTTTTTAATGGACTAGAGGACGAATATTCCTATGTATGTGATGAAAAAACTGGCCAGCCTTAGAGGAGGAAGGAGAGGAGGAAATATGGAAATGGAAGGGTCTAGGATGACTCCCAGCTTCTGGTTTGAACAGAAGCAGGAAGAGAAGCAGATATTGGTTGGAGGTGGGGTGTTGAGTTCAGGACATATTGGGTTGAGAAACCCACAGATATCCAGGTGGAGGTGCTCGGTAGGTAGTTGGATATGGGATTTGGGGCTCCTGGGGAGGCTGACCTGAAGATCTATCTTTGTGCATCACAGCATAAGGCAGTGGTTGGAACCACAGATGGGGGTGAGTATTTGGCTGGGGGAGAGAAAATGGTCTCTCACACAGCCTTCAGGAGCATTGGCACTTAAGAAGTAGGTGGATGAGAAGGGGCCCCTGAGAAGGAGGTCAGAAGGAGAGGCCATAGAGGTAGGGGAGAAAAAAAGGAGAAAAGGATGCTCCAGAAGATGCTGAGATACAATGGGTCACCTGGGAAGATGCTACGGAGGACTAGAATACCATCTTCATTCCTTTTCAGGGGGAGAGGAGATGACTCCCTCTGGGTCGGTCTGAGAAGCTTTTAGGAAACAGAAGGAAAGTGAGAAAAAGAAAAGCCCTTTCGAGCTGAGAAGTAGAAAGAGAGGGTTAAGCCACCTCGTCTCCTCTTTGCCGTGTTTTCTTGATTCTGGCTGCAATAATCAGTGCATTCATAGAAAATAAAGCATGTTATTTGATGACATGTGGAGAATCAGATGTTCAAAATGTTTCAGTGACGTGCTTCGAAACCAGACATGCTAAAAATGGAGACCATCCAATGTGATCATGCTGTCCTTAAAAATATTCCTTTGATAAACATTAAACTGTTCTCTTTACCAGAAATGTTAACAAGGAAAATAAACAGCAGGGCTATTTAGGAGTATTTCAAAATTGAATTTTAAACCATAAAAGAAAACAAGAGGCAAAAAACAGAACAAATCAAATCCAAAACTGCATGAACATTGCAGACTTCAGTTGCCCTTGAAATCTTTTTCTCTAACATTATATAATTCTTCATCAGCCCAAGCTATTAGGTTCACATGCTAAAATTCAGTGAGTAGGTGTCATACTCAAAGGACAGGATACTGAGAGGGAAACATGATATAAAGAGATGGGAAAAGGGTTGACACATAAAGGCCTGAGGATTTTCTAGAGGAACTTTAAGAATATTATTGATACACATTCCATAGAAACCATACTTCACATTTTGCATTTTGGTCTTTTCCTGGGCCAGCAATATGCGGTATGATGCTTCCTCATGAAGCTGGGCAGGGCAATCAGAAACGTAAACAATCGATACACTTACAACCATTCTGTACCCACACCACCATTTTACACTTTCAGTACAGTATTCAGTAAATCACATGAGATATTCAACACTTTATTATAAAATAATAGGCTCTGTGTTTTGCCCAGTTGCAGGCTAATGTAAGTATTCTGTGTACACTTAAGGTAGGCTAGGCTAAGCTATGATGCTCTGTAGGTTAGGTGTATTACATGCATTTTCGACTTAACAGTATTTTCAACTTACCATGGGTTTATCGTGAAGTTTACCCTATTGTAAATGAAGGAAGATCTGGAAATCTAATGCTTCCACCTGGAGGGTTTGCAACCAAAATGGGCTATCTTGGTTATTGGTACCACATGAAAGTAAAACTAACTCTTGAGAATATGTACCCAAAGCTGGGCCCCGCACAAGTTTGTAGCCCATATGTGTATTAGTTGTTTGATCTGAAAAGCCTTCAGCAGAAAATTTAACAGAAAGGAGTCCTAAGTGCCTGAAGTGCTGGAAGAAGCAAATGCAAATCCTCTTTAGATGAACCCACCTTTAGGGCGCCTGGGTGGCTCAGTTGGTTAAATGACTGCCTTCGGCTCAGGTCATGATCCTGGAGTCCTGGGATCGAGTCCCATATCGGGCTCCTTGCTCAGCAGGGGGTCTGCTTCTCCCTCTGACCCTCCCCCCTCTCATGTGCTCTCTCTCTCATGCTCTCTCTCAAATAAATAAATAAAATCTTTTAAAAAAATAGATGAACCCACCTTTATCTCAGGGTCCCCCCAAAAATTCCACAGGTAAAGTTTTAAGAAATGTAAGCTCACAGTAAAAATCATAAAACCCAAGGAAACAAGGCACCACGAGCAAGAGAAGCTGAAACACAGACTGCAGATTCAGATGTACCAGACTTCAGATATAGGAATTATTAGAAACTTGATATAAAATAACTATTTTAGAGCTTTTAAGAAATAAAAAAAGGATTCAAAGGAGTAAATGAGACTGCAAAAATGATCAAGCAGTTTGCAAAAAGTAAAATTCTGGAAATGAAGGGTGCTTGGGTGGCTCAGTCTCTCTCAAATAAATAAAATCTTTAAAAAATATTCTGGAAATGAGAAATGTAATAATTAAAACATAAAACTCAGTGGACAGATTTAATAGCAGACAGACACAGTGAAAAGGGAATTCATGAGCTAGAAGACATCTGAAGAAATGTTTCGGGCTGAGCACAGTGAGACCAAAAAAATGGGAAATGGAAGGATACTCAGATTCAAGAATCCCAGTGAATCCCTACTAGAAATAAAAGGAAATTGCATTCCAACACATCATAATAAAATTGCAGAACACCAAAGACAGACTCTAGATTGTAAATGCAGAGAGAAAAGTCAGATAACTTCAAAGCTGCAGCAATTAGACTGATAGCTGATATCTTAAGAGCAACAATAGAAGTAAAAAGATAATGGAATTCACTGGGCTGAGAAGAAATTGCAATCAACCTAGAATTCTATACCCACTGAAAATCTATAAAGAACAAAGGTGAAGGGTGCTGGGCTGGCTCAGTCAATAAAGCACAGAGCTCTTAATCTCTGGGGTTGTGAGTTCAAGCCCCATGTTGGATGTGGACCCTAGTTAAAAAAAAAAAAAACACAAAGGTGAAAAGAAGGAATTTCAAACAAAAACTAAAAACATTTGCTACTAAAGAGCATCACCTAAGGAAATTTCAAAGTATGTTTTTTGTCTTTTTTTGTTTTTTGGGAGTTTTTTGAGAGAGACAAAGTGTGTGAGCAGGTGCATGCAATCTGGTACGGGGGGCAGAGGGAGAAGGAGAGAGAATCTTTTTTTTTTTTTTAAAGATTTTATTTATTTGACAGAGAGACACAGTGAGAGAGGGAATACAAGCAGGGGGAGTGGGAGAGGGAGAAGCAGGCTTCCCGCCGAGCAGGGAGCCTGATGTGGGGCTCGATCCCAGGACCCTGGAACCATGACCTGAGCCGAAGGCAGACGCTTAACGACTGAGCCACCCAGGCGCCCCAGGAGGAGAGAGAATCTTTTTTTTTTTTTTTAAAGATTTTATTTATTTATTGGACACAGAGAGAAAGACTGTGAGAGAGGGAACACAAGCAGGGGGAGTGGGAGAGGGAGAAGCAGGCTTCCTGCTGAGCAGGGAGCCCGATGTGGGGCTCGATCCCAGGACCCCGGGATCATGACCTGAGCCGAAGGCAGACGCTTAACGACTGAGCCACCCAGGCGCCCCGAAGGAGAGAGAATCTTAAGCAGACTCCACGCTCAGCATGGACTTCAAGGCGGGGTTCAATCTCACCACCCTGAGATCATGACCTGAGCCAAAATCAAGAGTCAGACGCCCAACCAAATGAGCCACCCAGGTGCCCCTCAAAGTATGTATTTCAAGTGGAAGAAAAGTAATCTCAGATGGAAGGAATGAGATAAAGGAAGGAGTGAAAAGAGACAAAAGTAGTAAAATAATGAATCAGATATAGACCATCTATTTTACTGATTGACTATACACTGTTTAAAACTACAATAAAGTCCCATGGCATTGAAAAACTAACAGAAGGCTATCTGCTGTCCTCTGGCCCCCGGGGTTGCTGTATAGGTCCAGCCATGGTTCTGTGCTATCCCATGGCCATAGATCTCAACCAGGGGCACGAGGTGACCAAGAACGTGAGCAAGCCAACACACAGCTGTGGCCTCGGGTGGCTCATCAGGCACACCACGTTCCTGTGGGACATCATCCAAGAGGTGTGCAATGTTGCTCTAAATGGTACATGAACTGCACACCAGGGAGCTGCTCAAGGTCTCCAAGGACAGGCAGGCCTTCAAGTTCATCAAGAAAACAGTAGAGACACCTATCTGTGCCAAGAGGAAACAAGAGAACTGAGCAGTGTCCTGGCCACCGTGAAGAAAGCACCTGCCGAGGGGACCAAGCCCCCTCCCCACTGTGCGTAATAAAAGCTTCACAGAAAAAACAAACTAGTAGCCCAGTAACACACAGCCCAGTAACACGTAAGTCAGAAGATGGGTGATGGGAATTACAGTGTTTTAACGTTCTTACAGTGTTTGGAAGAAGGCAAAAGAATGAAGATCCGCTTTGGATGAGTTAAGTAGGCAAAGATACATTTTTAGATCAAGTGCTTAAAGTCTGAGAATAGAATACTTAGCTTCCGCACTAATAGAGGAAGACACATGAAGTGATAAAAAGTAATTTTAAAAAAGTTAGAAGAGGGATAAGCATCAAAAGGGAGAACCAAATATAGTTGACCCTTGAACGATGCGGGACTTAGGGGCGCTGACTCCCCATGCAGTCAAAAATCCACATATAGGGGCTCCTGGGCGGCTCAGATGGTTAAGGGAGTCTGCCTTCGGCTCAGGTCATGATCCCAGGTCCTGGGATCGAGCCCCACATTGGGCTCCTGGCTCAGCGGGGAGTCTGCTTCTCCCTCTCCCCCTGCTCATGCTCTCTCTCTCTCTGTATCTCTGTGTCTCAAATGAATAAAATAAAATCTTAAAAAAAAAATCCACATGTAATTTTTGACTCCCCCAAAACTCAACTACTAATAATCTACTGTTGACCGGAAACCTGAATGATAACATAAACAGTCTATTAATACTTATTTTTTGACTTGTGTCACTTCTACGCTAGAATATTTAATTTCCAATGTGAGACCATCCACTCCTCACTTCTGCTGTGATGGTCATGGAATCATGTTGAAATGGAACCTCCATCTGCCTGGGTCCCCGAGTCACTAAATGAGCAACTAGCATTGGACATATAATGTGACCAAGAAATAAATCTTTGTTGTTCAAAAAAAAAAAAAACCCACTTATTTTTTATATGTATTATATACTGTATTCTTACAATAAAGTAAACTAGAGAAAAGAATATATTATTAAGAAAATAAGGAAGAGAGGGCGCCTGGGTGGCTCAGTTGGTTAAGCGACTGCCTTCGGCTCAGGTCATGATCCTGGAGTCCCGGGATCGAGTCCCGCATCGGGCTCCCTGCTCGGCAGGGAGTCTGCTTCTCCCTCTGACCCTCCTCCCTCTCATGCTCTCTGTCTCTCATTCTCTCTGTCTCAAATAAATAAATAAAATCTTAAAAAAAAAAAAAGAAAATAAGGAAGAGAAAATATATTTACAGGACTGTACTATTTAAAAAAAAGAACATGTGTAAGTGGAATCACATACTTCAAACCCATGTTGTTTGAGGGTCAACTATAAACAACAATTTAAAAACGAAAAATAGGGGCACCTGGCTGGCTCAGTCAGTAAAGCATGTGACTCTTGATCTCAGGGTCATGAGTTCGAGGCCCACTTTGGGTGTAGCGATTACTTAAATAAATAAACTTTAAAAAAAATAAAGAAAAAAATAATTTATTAGCAATGTGCAATGCAATAGATGCTGCAGTTAAAAGATTGTCAGAGTAGAGAAAAACCCAGCTCTATACAGTTTATTAAAAAACCCACCTAGGGCGCCTGGGTGGCTCAGTTGGTTAAGCGACTGCCTTCGGCTCAGGTCATGATTCTGGAGTCCCGGGATTGAGTCCTGCATCAGGCTCCCTGCTCAGCAGGGAGTCTGCTTCTCCCTCTGATCCTCTCCCATCTCATGCTCTCTCTCTCTGTCTCATTCTCTCTCTCAAATAAATAAATAAAATCTTAAAAAAAAAACAAACCCACATAGAACATAAGGATACAGAAAGATTGAAATCAAAAGAATGGGAAAGACACACTAAGTAAACACTAAGTAAAAGAAAGCTGATATAACTATGTAAGTATCAGACAAAATGTACTTGAAAGCAAAAAAAAAATGTTATTAAGTAAAAATATTATTAGATCACTATACATATAATGATAAAAAATATATTGCAAAAACTGACAGACCAAAAGTGGAGGCTGAAAATCTATCATGATAATGGGAGATAGTAAGCAATACCACCCTTCAGTGACCAATAAACCAAGCAGGCAAAAAAAAAATCGGTAAGTATTTATGAAATTTGAATAGCACCATCACCAAGCTTAATTTAATGGAAGTACGTATAACAATGTCAAAGCAATATTCCAAAACTATACAAGGACAGAATGTGGAAAAAATATTATACACCAAGTTCATTCACAAATATAGATGCAAATATGATAAGTAAAATATTAACAAACTTGCCAGCAATATTTAAAAAGATAGTAGGTTATTACCAAGTTGGATTTATCCCAGGAATGCCTTATAGATTTAATATTAAGAAATCAACTAATTATTCAGTCTTTTAGGTGTGATAATATATTGTGTTTTTGTAGGAAAATGTCCTTACACTTAGGAGCTACATGCTGAAGTATTTCATGGGTGGCGTGTAATGATATCTGCAGGTTACCTTCAAATGGTTAAGAAAAAAATATATATATATATTAAATTTATACACATGTATGTATAGATGATAGATATGATACATAGATAAGGCAAAAATAATAAAATGTTAACGATTTTTGTACGTAAGTCATAGATATATGTGTGTTCATTGTACTATTCTTTCAACTTTTATGTACAGTGGAAATTATTCATAATGAAAAATTATAAAAAAGAAAACCAAGTAATGAAATTTATCGCATTAACTGAGTAAGGGAAAAAGTCTGACAAAATTGAACATCCATTAATGATTTAAAAAAAAAACTATTAGCAAACATAATGGTGGTATATAAAGATCATTTCTGGGGCGCCTGGGTGGCTCAGATGGTTAAGCATCTGCCTTCAGCTCAGGTCATGATCCCAGGGTCCTGGGATCGAGCCCCACATCGAGGCCCACATCAGGCTCCTGGCTCAGCGGGGAGCCTGCTTCTCCCTCTCTGTCTGCCTCTGCTCATGCTCTCTCTTTCTTTCTGTGTCTCTGTATCTCAAATGAATAAATAAAATTTAATAAATAAATAAGTATAATTTCCTTCAAGGCTGGAAACAAGATAAAAATGGATATTGTACTGGAGACCAGCAGAGTAAAAGCAAGTATAAAAATTGGAATGAAAGAAACAAAACTGTCATTATTCATAGATAATAGGATTATTTACTTGAAAATCTCAAAGAATCTCCAGATATAGTTACAAGAATTAATAAGAGAATTTAGCAAGCGTTAGATACAAAAATCGATAAACGAAAATCAAGTGCATTTCTATATACCATCTACTGGTAGAAATTGTACTTTCATTTTTTTTTTTAAAGATTTTATTTATTTGACAGAGAGAGACACAGTGAGAGAGGGAACACAGCAGGAGGAGAGGGAGAGGGAGAAGCAGGCTTTCCGCCGAGCAGGGAGCCCGATGTGGGGCTCGATCCCAGGACCCTGGGACCATGACCTGAGCTGAAGGCAGAAGCTTAATGACTGAGCCACCCAGGCGCCCCTGTACTTTCTTTTTTTTTTTTTTTAAGATTTATTTATTTGAGAGAGAGAGCGTGAGCGCAGGGGTGGGGAGAAGGGGTAGAGGAAGAGAATCTCAAGTAGACTCCGTGCTGAGCACAGAGCCCTATGCAGGGCTGTAGCTCATGACTCTGAGGTCATGACCTGAGCCGAAACCAAGAGTCGGACGCTTAACCAACTGAGCCACCCAGGCACCCGAAAATTATACTTTTAAAAGAGATATCATTTGGGGCGCCTGGGTGGCTCAGTCAGTTGGGTGTCTGCCTTTGGCTCAGGTCATGATCTCAGGGTCCTAGGCTCCCTGCTCAACGGGGATTCTGCTTCTCCCTCTCCCTCTGTTGCTCCCCCTGCTTGTGTTCCCTCACTGTCTCTGTCAAATAAATGAATAAAATCGTATGTATAGGGTGCCTGGGTGGCTCAGTTGTTAAGCGTCTGCCTTCGGCTCAGGTCATGATCCCAGGGTCCTGGGATCGAGCCCCATACCGGGCTCCCTGCTCCGCGGGAAGCCTGCTTCTCCCTCTCCCACTCCCCCTGCTTGTGTTCCCTCTCTTGCTGTGTCTCTCTGTCAAATAAATAAAATCTTAAAAAAAAAAAAGATCTTATGTATATAAAATCTATGTATGGAAAACTATACAATTTTATTGAGAGATATTAAAGAATACTAAAATAAATAAAGGGCTATGCTATGCTCATAGACTGTAAGACTCTCATTAGCAAAAATACCATCTCCTCAAATTGACCTATAAATTCAATGCAATCCCCATTTGACAGATTAATTATTAAGTCTTTAAAAAGAAAGAAATTCTGACACATACTACAACATGGACGAACCTTGAAGACTATGGAGAATTAGTGTTTAAGGGGGACAGAGTTTCAGGTGAGAAGGCGAAAAAGTTCTGGAGATGGGTAATGGTGATGGTTGTACAACAATGTGAGTGTACTTACGCAACATACACTTACAAATTGTTAAAATGGTAAGTGTTATGTATATTTTACCACAATAAAGAACAGTTAATACAAAATTCCAGATAATATTCATCTCTGGGGTAAAAATAGGAGATGCAGTTGGAGAGGTACACACATGAGTCTTCTGGGACATGATAATGTTCTTTCTTGGCCTGGAAATAGATTCCCAAGTGTTCATTTTATTGTTGTTGTTGTTATTTTTTTTTAAGATTTTATTTATTTATTTGACAGAGAGAGAGACAGCGAGAGCAGGAACACAAGCAGGGGGAGTGGGAGAGGGAGAAGCAGGCTTCCCGCCGAGCAGGGAGCCCGATGCGGGGCTCAATCCCAGGACCCGGGGATCACGACCTGAGCCGAAGGCAGACGCTTAACGATGGAGCCACCCAGGCGCCCCTATTGTTGTTTGTTAAAGTAAACATATATTTCCATGCATGATTTGTATGTATGCATGCATGATTTTGTATGCATGCCATATTCCTCTTAAATTTTAAGCACATATAAACCCGTGCTAAAACAATAATGAAAAGCAAGGAGATATAGAAGCACAAATTCAGGATAATGGTTACCTCCGAGGGGAGAGGGAAGGAAGGGGACCCTAGGGAACTTCAGAGGTCACGCTGATTTTTTTTCTAAAACTGAGTGGTGGGGTAGACACCGGAGTCCCTTCCATCGTGATTCTTTACTCCTTACATGTATTTTACTCATTTTATTTATTCAATAGTTAATAAATGTAATTTTAAAAGAAATCCTTAATATATGTGTATATTTTTAAAGTTCGGCTTTATGGGGCGCTTGGGTGGCTCAGTTGGTTAAGCGTCTGCCTTCTGCTCAGGTCATGATCCCAGGGTTCTGGAATCAAGTCCCAAGTCAGGCTCCTTGTTCAGCCGAGAGTGGGCTTCCCCTTCTCCCTCTGCTGCTCCCCCTGCTTGTGCTCCCTCACTCTCTTTCTGTCAAATAAATGAATAAAATCTTAAAAGAAAATAAAATAAAGTTTGGCTTAATCTGTAAATCCGGCATGTGTCAAACACTGAGGCCAGCTGCTTCATCGGGGTACTTATCTAGGCTACTTCTTCCCTAATGACCTTTGTGAAGCCATCGGATGACCACCATGGTCTTGTGATGTGATGCACGGACAACTTCAGAGCCTAATAAATGATCACTCTCCTTTATGCAGGTGGTTAAAAGGAGAACGTGCCCTCCTTTGGGCTATATTAAAGTTCTGCTGCAGCTCTATCAGTTCCTTACAGGGTAGAAATTGGGCCACTATGTCCCCAGGCTGCATTCAGCCCATTAGCTTTCTCTGTCTTTTTCCCAACATCAAGAAAGAAACAATACGGAAAATACAACCACATAAAAGATCCTGTCATATTTGACAAAGGAAACATTTTTTCTAGGATGAAGTACCAAGTATCTCTATTCTATCAGAAAGTGAGTAGGGCTTATCATGGGGGGCCGGAGAGCCATTTGGCTGAGCCCTCACAGTCACAAAAGACCTCAGACTTAGATCTTTGACTTCATCTCCAAATGAGATTACGATACAGTCACAAAGACACACAAAAAAGATGAAAACATTTGTTACGCAGTTAAGTGTATGTCTCCATACCAGGCCACACTTCCTGCAGGTGTCCTGAGAATTAATAGTTGTTATGAGTCCTTTCGTTATCTTGGGACCAGCAGTTATATGGCAAAGTGGTTTTTGTTTTGGAATTCTAATTTATTAAATGTAAGTATTTAAAAATTTAGTGCAAATTTTATAACACTGCTTTGGCATTTCTTCATTTTGTAATAAATCAGGAGACTTTAAAACTTAGGGTTGCCAGAAGTAGCAACGAAAAATACAGAACGGGGCGCCTGGGTGGCTCAGTCGTTAAGCGTCTGCCTTCGGCTCGGGTCATGATCCCGGGATCCTGGGATCGAGCCCCGCATTGGGCTCCCTGCTCAGCGGGAAGCCTGCTTCTCCCTCTCCCACTCCCCCTGCTTGTGTTCCCTCTCTCGCTGTATCTCTCACTGTCAAATAAATAAAATCTTAAAAAAAAAAAAAAAAAGAAAAAAGAAAAATACAGAACACCCAGTTAAATTTTAATTTCAGATAAATAAAGTAATTTTTTAGGATGAATATGTAGCATACAAAATTAGGGACATATTTACACTTAACAAAGTGTTTATTGTTTATCTGAAATTAAAATTTAACTGGGTGTCCTGTATTTTTTCTGGCAGCCCTAGTAATGATGTACTCAGTCTTTCCATTTCTGTGTACCCTGGCGTGGGCAGAAAAAGTAAGTAACATTCATTGAGTGTCTGCTATGGATCAGCCAAGTACATTACAAGTGAGATCTCATTTAAATCTTGCCACAGTCCTATGGCACAACCCTATATTATCACTCCACAGTCCTATGAAACAGTCCTATCTTATTACTCCATTTTATAAGTAAACACAAAGCTGGAGTAATTTACTCAAGCTGAGACAGCAGACATGGGATGGATGAAGAATCAAATTCAAATTTGCTTCCCCAATCTGTACTTTCTCCCTCTCTGTGCACTTTCTACTAGAAAGCTTTCACATGGCTTTTTAAAAGATTTTAATCAAAAAGAGATAGAGTTCTCTTGCCATTTGCAACGACATTGATGGAGCTAGAGAGTATAATGCTAAGCAAAATAAGTCAGAGAAAGACGAATACCATATTATTTCACTCATATGTGGATTTTAAGAAACAAAAAAGCAAAGGAAAAAAATGAGAGTCAAAGCAAGACATATCATAGACAACAATCTGATGGTTACCAGAGGGGAGGTGGGTGGGGGGGTGGGTTAAATGGGCGACAGAAATTAAGGCGTGTGCTTGGGATGAGCACAGGGTGATGTGTGGAAGTGTTGACTCACTATATTGCGCACCTGAAACTAATATAACACTGTATGTTAAGTAACTGGAATTAAAATAAAAACTTTTAAAAAAGAGAGCATTCTGGAAATACTCCAAAGGCTTTTTCATCAAAACTTAATATTTCATGTGAAATATTTTATTATATCTAATTGTGTTTGCATGGCATGGAATGTAATTATAAATGAAATCTGCATAGCCTGACATGTTTCAAGGAATTTTAATGAGTTTTGCCTTAGGAAGGTCAGATAATCTCTCTGGAGCTCGGTTTCCTCATCTGTGAACAACGTGCTTTCCAGTCCTCTACCTTTGGGATTTCCACGCCTCAGGCGGAGGGGGGAAACGACGTGTTAAGATCTTTTACGGCTCTCTGCTGCCACCTGCCGGAAAAATTACAGCGCCCATTTCTGCTTGAAATGCTCTCTGTTCGGTAACCAGCCAGTACCCTTGATCCTGAAGCTTGTTTACTTAATAATTTCAGTCAATTAACGAGAATTATAGTTCTCTGAGTTTTCTCAGTTTCAGTGTTTTCCATTTGTAAGACAGTCCAAATGAGTCAAGCCTGAATTTTGACCATCTGGAAATTAAATTTTTAGCAGGTTTTCCCACAGGGATGTATTTTTTATACTTGTCCAGTGTTTTGCAATGAGGTCTTATAAAAGGTAGTAGAACAGAGAAAAGATATTTTGCTTAAAGTATTTTTTAAAGATTTCTTTCTTTTTTTAAGGTTTTATTTATTTATTTATGAGAGACAAAGAGAGAGAGAGGCAGAGGGAGAAGCAGGCTCCCCGCTGAGCAGGGACCTGATCCCAGGACCCTGGGATCATGACCCAAGTCGAAGGCCGATGCCTAACCGACTGAGCCACCCAGGCACCCCTGGAGTCTAGTTTTTTTAACTGGAAAAAAAATTCCTAAATTAAAGGCTGAGTTGTATGTTCACTGTACTGGAATTAAAATTAAAAAAAAACTTAAAAAAATTAAGGCTCAGTAATGGCCTTAAAATTTTTTTTTACAAATAAACTATTTTTTAGAGCAGTTTTAGGCTCCCAACAAAATTGAGTAGAAGTTAGAGAAGTTTTCCATATACCCATGCCCCACCCTCACACACACACAGCCTCCCCCTGCATCAGCATCCCCCCCCCAAGAGTGGTACAATTGTTTTTTTATTATTTATTTATTTATTTATTTTTAAAGATTTTATTTATTTATTTGAGAGAGAGAGAATGAGAGACAGAGAGCATGAGAGGGAGGAGGGTCAGAGGGAGAAGCAGGCTCCCCGCCAAGCACGGAGCCCGATGCGGGACTCAATCCCGGGACTCCAGGATCATGACCTGAGCCAAAGGCAGTCGCTTAACCAACTGAGCCACCCAGGCGCCCAGAGTGGTACAATTGTTAAAACTGATGAACTTACATAGATACATCATTGTCACCCAAAGTCCACAGTTCACATGAGGGTTCACTCTTGGTGTTGTACATTCTATGGGTTTTGACAAATGTATCATGACATGTATCCACCATTATAGCATCACACAAAATATTTTCAGTACCCTAAAAATCCTCTGCATTCTGCCTCTTCGATCCTCCCTCCTCCCCAATCCTTGGCAATCCCTGGTCCTTTTACTATCTCTACAGTTTTGCCTTTTCCACATGTTACGTAATTGGAATCATACAATATGCTACCTTTCAGACTGGCTTCTTTCACTTGGTAATATGCATTTAAGTTTTCTCTGTGTCTTTTCATGGTTTGATAGCTCATTTCTTTTTAGCACTGAATAATATTCCATTGACTGGATGTACCACAGTTTGTTTATCTGTTCATCTACTGAAAGACATCTCGGTTGCTTTCAAGTTTTGGCAGTTATGAATAAAGCTGCTATAAACATCCATGTGCAGGTTTTTGTGTGACATAAGCTTTCAACTCCTTTGAGTAAATACCAAGGAGCATGATTCCTGGATCATCTGGTAAGATTATGTTCAGTTTCGTAAGAGATCACCAAACTGCTTTCCAGAATGGCTGTATCATTTTGCATTCCCACCAGCAATAAATCACAGTTCCTATTGTTCCACATACTCACCAGCATCTGGTATTGTCAGAGTTTGGGATTCAGGCCATTCTAATAAGTGTGTCCTGGGATGGTTGTTTAAATTTGCAATTCCTTGATGACAACATGATGATGTGGAGCATGTTATCATCTGCTTATTTGCTATTTGTGTATCTTTTTCTGTGAGGTATCTCTTCAGGTCTTTTGCTCATTGTTCAGTTAGGTTGTTCATTTTCTTACAGTTGAGTTTTAGAAGTTCTTGTATATTTTGGATAACAGTCCTTTATAAACTATGTCTTTTGCAAGTATTTGCTCCCACTCTGTGGTTCATCGGCCTTAATTTTAAAGCAAAACCACTTTCCAGAATTCCCATCATAACGCTAAAAGAGCAGTCTGAATAATTCAATCATAAAATATAAAATATAGGACTAAATATATAGCCGGTTGGGGTTGAGTCAGCTTGAGAGGGTGGGAGCCAACAGCTAGTCCCTTCATATCTGAATCCACATTATCTCAGGGTTTTGTTGTATACTTGCCAGGAGCTTGATGTAATCTGAAGGGCAATAAAATTAGAATCCTACTTCCTTCTAAAAATTAACCTTGGGGTAGGGCTTCTTTTGAAAGGAGATCAGGAAAAGATTTGGGGAAAAAGAGGTAATACCCACTAATGGCTGTGCTTTCTGTTCCTTCTGCCTCGTGACTTCCCAGACAGAACTATCAACAGGCTTAGGTAGTTGAATACATTTATTTATTACCATCTTTCAGTTTATAATGATACTCATTAAAACTTCCAAAACTACTTTCCAACCCTTCCATTTATGGTACCGTAATATGCAACAGTGCATATTATTAATATTTTTTCTGATAAAACAAATAACACTGGCTCCATACACAGAGCTTGGAAAACCTGGAAATGCAGAAAAGAAAAAACCACTTAGTTACAGCTCCCTTCATATTGCCATGCAAAAATAACTATGCCAACATATTAATGGTGTCATTCCTTCCAATATTTTATACACTTAGAGACACATTTTTCCTTCAAAAATAGTATTACACTATACATATGACTTTATATTTGTTAACATATACTTTTCTAGGCAAATTCTGACGTGACTCAAGTGTGATTCCTCAAACTGGCTTCCTGCCAGGATGCTGGAGTTGAAAACCTTGGGAAAGACGTTTAATTCCTTGGACCTTGGTGTCCTTGTCTGAAAAGTGAAGAATTTCTTGCCATTCTCTGCCAAAGCCTATTTTGGGATGATATTTCATCACTATGTCACATCCTGAGGACTCTATGTAACAGCCCCTAGCTCCACATACCCTCAGTTTATACGGAGTTTTATTTTTTGTTAGTATGTATTTCCAACTGCCCTATGCAAATCATTGGAATCTGTCTTATTATTTTTGCTAGCAATTTTTGTGATTCAGCTGACTAGTCTTTAAAAATAAAATATCTTTTTAGTAAAAAAGGATGACAAAAGAGAAGCTAAAATATCCATCATTGGGCTTTACTCTTGATGTGTAAAGAAATCAATGCTCAAGGGGCACCTGGGTGGCTCAGTCATTAAGCATCTGCCTTCAGCTCAGGTCATGATCCCAGAGTCCTGGGATCGAGCCCCGCATCGGACTCCCTGCTCAGCGGGAAGCCTGCTTCTTCCCCTCCCACTCCTCCTGTTTGTGTTCCCTCTCTCGCTGTGTCTCTCTCTGTCAAATAAATAAATAAAATATTTAAAAAAGAAAGAAATGCACAAAAGTAGAGGAGGAAAATCACTATATTTCAATTCAATTCAGACAATTATGATTTAGTAAGAAAAAAAGGTAAGAAACTTAGGGACGGAAATAAGGCAACATCAATAGAACACAACAAGAGTTGTGGACGGAATAGGATTTGGACGGAATAGGATGGACGTATATTTTGGATAACAGTCCTCAGATGGACGGAATAGGATTTGGAAACTCTAAGGAAATCCAACTAGAAAGGAAATTACTTTGTCTAAAGAAGGGAAGTTAGAGGTGGCTTTAATTGCACTCAATTATATAAAAGACATAAGCCAATTGTGTGTCTTCTCTATCAAGAACCAACAGGAAATTGGTTTAGGCTGTAGTTAGATTAATTTCTATATTAAAAACTGTTGATAAAGGGATGGAAAAGAAGGCAAAATGTACCGAAAATGGAAAATGTGCTCACCTTTTGTACAGGGACGGCTGTTATACCCTGATATCTGCTCTTTCCCTCTTTTTTTTTTCCTTTAAGAGATTTTTGGGGGGCAGAGGCAGAGGGAGAGGAGAGAGAAAATTTCCAGGAGATGCCATGCCCAGGACCCTGAGATCATGACCCGAGTGGAAACCAAGAGTCCAACATGCAACCAACTGAGCCACCCAGATGCCCCCTGTTCCTCCCTTCTTACATAGTAACAGAATTCCCTATTTTTCAGTTGGGCACAGGGCCCTATGAAATATTTTCTAGTTAAGAGTGACCATGTTACTAAGTTCTGACCAAATCCATGTCAAGGAAAGAGTCTTTAAAGGGTCAAAGAGGGGGCACCTGGATGGCTCAGATAGAGCGTCTGACTCTTGGTTTCTGCTCAGGTCATGATCTTAGGTTCATGGGATTGAGCCCCGCATCAGGCTCTGTGCTCAGTGGGGAGTCTGTTTCTCTCCTTCTCCCTCTGCTCCTCCCCACACTCGCGTGTGCTCTCTCTCTCTCAAATAAATAAATTAAAAAATAATAATAATAATAAAATAAAGGGTCAGAGAGAAGTCTCTTCTTCCCCTTTCTTTCTTCCTGCAGGCTGAAATGTGAATATGATGCTTTGAGTTCAAGCCGCCATCTTGAGCCATGAGCTGGAAGCCACAGGGGGAGGATGAAAAGCAAGAAGATAGAAAGAGCCTGGATTCCAGATGATTGCTAAGCTGCCACACCAGCCCTGATTGCTTATCTCTAGACCTTGTTTATGTGAGAAAAACACATTTTATCTTGCTTAAGCTACAGTAGTTGGGAGTTCTCTATCACTTGCAGCCTAACCTAATTTTAAGTGGTATCACTCTGACAACCAGAAATTAACTTTAAAAACTTTATCCTAAGATGAATATACAAAGTGCTCCTTGCAGCCTTAAGTAGCAAAATATTGAAAACAATCTAATGATGCAGAACCAGTTAAACAAATTTGTATGATATAGCTTATAGTGAAATACTATGTAACTAGTAAAAAGAATGAGACCGATTTATATTTTTGACCAGGAAAGATCCCATCAGGAAGGAAATGTACCAAAGTGGCATTAGTAGTTATCACCCCGTAGAAAGATTAGGTTGATTTTGGTGGTGGGGGGGTGGGGTGGGGGGAGAGGTGGGACTTGTGTACATTTTTACTTTTTTTTTTTCTGCAGTGAACATTGATTTCTTGTAGGAATTTTCAATTAATATTTTTAAGAAGAAACCCAGCATATTGTTTTAACCTATAAAAATCTGTGGAGGGGCTCCTGGGTGGCTCAGTCGTTGAGCGTCTGCCTTCGGCTCAGGTCATGATCCCAGGATCCTGGGATCAAGCCCTGCACGGGGCTCCCTGCTCGGCAGGAAGCCTGCCTCTCCCTCTCCCACTCCCCCTGCTTGTGTTCCCTCTCTCTGTCAAATAAATAAAATCTTTTAAAAAAAAAAATCTGTGGAATTTCCTCCCCCAAAGTTTTTATAGAATGTTACAGGTAACCAGCTATTTTTGAATAATTTAGGCCAGCTTTCCCCCTACTCTGAAATTCAGGGGTGAAGATATAATTTTATCACACAGTATCAACCAAAGGTAAAGGGAATGATATTCAAGATTTTCGTGACATACTAGTGAGATGCTCATTTTCTTAAATAAAAATAATTGCGACCCATCTCCCTGCCCACACGTGGCACATCTGGGAGTCAGTTTATATTTGGATCCTTGCAAGATTCTGAGTATCAAGTAAAACAGCTACAGCACCATCTAAGTTTGGGTGGGTGTACATGTGTGTATGGGATTGTAGCAGAAGCAGAGAGGAAATACCAAGTGAACTAACTCATCTCTAAGTTGAGACTCCATTGCTAGTGCTTTCAAAGAGCTCACGGAATAACAGGATAACCAAGACCTGTCCATAATTAACCATGAGTCAAGGCAGAATGAAGTGCCTACAGAGCAGTACCAGAATGAAGAAGGTTCAAAAGAGGAAAAACATTTCTCATTATAGGCATGTTTAAAGGTTTAAGATGCTTAGAGGAAGTAGCCTGGGAAATGGCCTAAGTCCATATATCTCAAACTTGACTGTGGATTTTGTTAAAATGCAGGTTCTGATTTGGGAGGCCTGGAGCAGGGTCTGAGATTCTGCATTTCTAACAAGCTCTCAGGTCAGGCTGTTGGTCCTGGGACTCCTCTTCCAGAAGCAATAGTCTAAAGTTAGGGTGTCAAAAGGTAGAGTTTGAAGAGGGAGATTTCTGAGCAGAGAAATCCGCATGAACCACACCACCAGGGTGACAGTAAGGGAGTCAGTGTTGGGGAAGTAAGGAGAGTTTGAGGAGTTACCTGGAGACATAAAATTCAGCCACACTGAGGCAGGCCTTGAAGGCCAGGTTGAGAAGCTTCTACTTAATTAGACGCAATAAGGAGCCATTGAAGGCTTTTGGGAAAGGGAATGATATAATCAGTAACTAAAATCTTCATATAAATCCCAATGAATAAAACAAGCTTAATAAATCAATAAATATTTGAAGTTACTTAATTTGGAGTCCATCAGCAAACATGTACTCAATGTTTCCCTGCTCTTTATGACTACAAAATTAAGTGCAGGGCCTTGGAAGGGGTCTGTCCCAGTAGGAGGCCCTGAAGCTTAAATTTCAGTTGGCTCATGGTAGATCCACCCCTGTATCTGTTGTTCTTCCATATATGAAGGATACAAAAGAGATATAAGGCATCTTAAAGAGTTCACAATGTCGTTTAGGAGGGAAAGCATACTTATTGAAGAAACAAGCTACATGCAAGGTGTGACTCTTAAAGTAGGACCTGGGGGGAGATTTAGAAGGAGGGAAATAATTTTTTTTTTAAGTTTATTTATTTTTTCTTTTAGTAATCTCTATACCCAACGTGGGGCTGGAACTCACAACCTTGAGATCAAGGGTCGCATGCTCTACTGACTGAGCCAGCCAGGCACCCTGGTAAATCTTTTTTTTTTTTTTTAAAGATTTTCTTTCTTTATTTGACAGAGACACAGCGAGAGAGGGAACACAAGCAGGGGGAGTGGGAGAGGGAGAAGCAGGCTTCCCGCCAAGCAGGGAGCCCAATGCGGGGCTCGATCCCAGGACGCTGGGATCATGACCTGAGCCAAAGGCAGACGCTTTAACGACTGAGCCACCCAGGCACCCCAGTAAATCATTTTTGATGGAAGTTTCAACACAAGGAGGTAGGCGTAAATCTGCTAAGGAGACACCTCCTTCATCCATTCTCCCGACCCCTCATCCCCACAGGAGTAGCAGGTCTGTCTCCTTGGGAAGGAACAGAATACATGTTAGTCCAGGTCAGGTGCTTGTGACCCTTAGCTGCTGGACGGCAGAAACTGTACTTACCCTGCAGTTACCATTGGGCTTGGCAGAAAGTAGGCTTGGATCAAATATAACAAATGAATGAACAAGTAGAGGGAAAGAGATAATAGAGAACACTGAAGAAATGGTAGAGATTTGAGTGTGATGTGGCTGGCAAGACAAAGTAACTGTACACTCTTGAGATGGGAAATGACAACGTGGACCCAAAGTACTTCTCCCTCATCTGGATTGCCAATCCAGTGGGCACTGGCAGTATTCATCTAACAGACACCTTGTGGTACTCAGCAGCACTCAGCACTACTGACCATGCCTCATTCTTGTAGCACTCCATTTCCAGCTTCCACGACTCCATTCTC